AAAAAGACAGTTTTTGCGTTTAAATTGGTGACTAATTGCCAATTTTAAAATTATGACCCCACTACGTGCCCAAATGACGCTAAAAATGGTTCCACATGAGAACTACGATGGGTGCTGTGGGCAAAAAGTTTTATTTTTGTCCCAAAAACATGTTCACCAGTTTTTTGCTTTTATCAAAATTTGCAGAATTTTCCCAAATATTGAGGTGTACCGCTAGCACTATAACAAACCTGGATCGCAAACCAACCCATGCTATAATCTATACAGAACCATCAAAGCAGCAGCTTTTCTACGTATATCCAAAGATCCAATGTTGAGAGAGTCCATGACCTTTTCCTTAGCTATATGTAACTCATATATCCCCGTTTTCTTATTTATATATATAAAACACAGTTGTGTTGATTCTAGCAGTTATAACTCGAGAACGGCTGGACTGATTTTTATGATTTTTGCTTTATTGGATTTGTCTTTGCCCTTATAACATAATAAATCGAAAAAATCCAAAAAAAAAAAACAAAATTTCTTATTTTACTTATTTATGAAAAAAATTCACTGAGCCCGCATACGGCGCCATCTCTTTTAACCGATACCAAGTTTACCGCCACATTTTCATTGCAAACCATTTTGTATACGGCGCCATCTCTGATACCTAGAACGAAGCTCGCCGTTGCGCGGTAATTTCATTGCAGATACAGTAGAACAGGAACTGGAGCTATTTTGAACAGAACTATTCCACTATTCCGATCAAATAGAGTGGTGCAGAAAGAGTAGATCAGATAGAATAGTGCAGATAGAGTAGAACAGATGGAGTAGTGTAGTGCAGATAGAGTGAAACAGGGCTGCGCTGGAGATTTTTTTGTTTTCTTTACATTCTTTGAACATTCCTGTGCCTGATTTTATTTATTTGATGGTACACTTTACAAGAATAATGCCCACAAGCTGCCTGAAAAGGGATGATGTAAAACTTTAATTTTAGGTGACTTCTGATCCAGAGAGTGAACATTAATTTTCTTCGGTATTTAATAATTCAGAGGCGGTACGAAGTTCGTCGGGTCAGCTAGTAAATTATAAAATATTTGAGCACCAATTAAAACATCAACAGGTCCAGACTTATAAAACTGATTATCAGCTAGAGTAATATTTTCTGGTAAAGAAGTGTTTTGTCAAATAAAATAATTGACATTGAATATTTTCAGTGATTGTTGGCAAAATTGAAAATAACAATTCAACATTAAATTCATTGTTGATTGATTTTATTGTAGTATGTACTTGTAATCTTAAAAATTTTAATTAATTTTCGACCTACTCCAGTGATTGAAATATTTGTCTCATCTTTTGACAATTGTAATGGTGATGATGATAAAATTGCTCTGACTCCTTGAGTTTAATAGTGCACGATATAAGTTGAATGTACGGAAATGTTGAATGTTTGTAAAACTTGACTATTCTCATCCCTAGATTTATTTATATTGTAACAAGGTATTGTGTTTTTGATTACAAATACGACAACATGTATATTTAGTATTTACACTCATTTGTTAATAGTTTAAACAAAGTTTCCTCTTTTGAACCTCAACTATCTTTTCTTTGACTGTAAGATCTAAAAATTCTTTGTATTTGTAAATAACGTGATTTTTATTGCAAAAATAGTAAGAACTTGAGCCACCATTATACTGATTCCGTAATGTATACAGACCCTTTGAGTAAAAATTCTTCGATTGTGATTGTTCTTTAACCTTGTTAGCTGCAAATGAATGACGTTTATTCTGATTATCTTAAAAACCACCTTGTTGAATATGGTTTGGTTTTGACTGTTTATTAAAATCAACAGCCTTTAAAAGTTGAACAACGATTTTTTAGAAATTTCATCATTTCCTCTAATGTTGGCATTTTACTACCAGTGATGCTGCTTTCCCATTTTCGCCAGGTTAAATTGTCTAATTTGGAAGAAATCAAATATATATTCCACAATGGGCTCACCCTTCTCACCCAATTGTCCTGCTTCACCTCTCAAACATGATTTTAATTAAATTTTTGGACATCATTCAATGACTGATTACAATGTATGTACAAGTGATTTGGATGTATCATAGAAGTTTGTCCATTTTTCATAGATACCCTCAAATATTGGCAATTCAATAGGCTGTAACCTTGCAACATTACCAAATGATCCCTATATACCACTACTCTGACTCGTACTGACTGGCGTCACACCAGCTGCAATCAAATCTTTTGCGTTGCTTATATTTTTATAAACCCAGTTTTCCAAAGTATCACGTGAATCAGACTCCTTGATGTCTCTCAATTCTAAACTGGACTAAACTAGGTATGTCAAACTCAGAAATAAGATGTTATATTTTTTCTAACCTAGTGTTTATTTCGGTTATTTTACAGTAATTGTTTTTATCAGAGATGAAATCCACGAATTTATTTAAACCTGACTATTTGTCTACGTCAGAGCCTCAAAATATCTGGATCTAAATTTGGATCCATTGTATCGCAAAATGCAAAGTGATTTATATATTTAAAAAATAATTCTCAAAACTCTCAAGCGATATGCCTCCAAACTAGGGATGTTAAATGACGGTCATATATTTTTTGTGATAGGTGACTGTCATTTTTTGGTAATTTTTGTAATTTATTGTCATTTATGTTTATTTACCTTCAATGAAGAACATAACTTAAATCAATGATCAGATATCTGATTGGTTGACTTAAGTTCTTCTTCAGTTTCACTGTCATCACTCAGCATCAAAGTAATTTAATGAGTTAGAAAGTACAGCTTCCATCTCCTTGATTAGATTGACAGTAGAAATCGAAAGACATCTGATATTTTTGTGACAGTCTCATATATTTCAATGATGGTCATATATTTTAATGAAAGACAGTTATTATTTTGACGGTCAGAAAATTTAATCAATAAAAAAATAAATGACAAGAGTGTCATAAAAATAAAGGACGTGACCGTCATTTTCATTTTGACTGTGACATGTCATTGTCAGAAAAATTGACTCCAAACTAATCTTAAATGAATTCAACAACTTGGCCGAAACATTACCCGTTTTAAGCTTGAACCGGCTTTCACAAAAAACTTACTAATTGACCTTCGTAAACCGTACTTCACTCGAATAACAGAATTTATTGTTCAACACTGAACACTCTTACCAAACTGTGGAATATTATCGCTATAGAATGATAAAATGTAATAATAACTAAACTTGTCTTAATTGTACTACTAAAATATAAATGAAACTCGTCGAATCGCAATAAATTTTAAAGCAGAGAATGTTAAAAATCTGGAATTTGAACTGGAAATGCATGAAAATTCAATTTCTTTCGAAAATTAGCCTAGAACTTTGACTTCTGACCAATTTTCAATTAAAGAAGGAGGCACAATTTACATTGAAAATAGGCCCCCGTAAATTTCAACCAAATTTCAATATGTTAATGGTATCATCATTGCAAAAACAAATTTGAAATGTAAAGAGGATCGTATGTCTGTGATAGCAAATATAGCTCATCAAAGTGAGTAGGTCCTGCTATGCTATGCATAGGAAATATCCAAGGAAATATCCCTACGTTACCCTACGTAGATTTTCTTGAATATCTCGAAAAATACTAATCCGATTTTGACCTGTTTGGAGTTTGATATCTACAAAAGGACCCCAAAAACTTCAAAATCGGATTAGTATTTTTCGAGATATTCAAGAAAATATACGTAGGGATATTTCCTCGGATATTTCCTATGCATAGCATAGCAGGACCTACGTACTTTGACGAGCTATATCTACTATCACAGACATACGATCCTCTTTACATTTCAAATTTGTTTTTGCAATGATGATACCTTTAAAATATTGAAATTGGTTGAAATTTACGGGGGCCTATTTTCAATGTTAATTGTGCCTCCTTCTTTGATCCAGAGTAGTTCAAGGTATGTATGTATGTGTTGGAGGTGTCAGTTGCACTGCGACCAAGGTTGATCTATTGTACCGCTCCTTCTGCTGCTAAGTTCGGGTTTCCTGCTTAAAGCAACCCCTCTAGTCCTAGGTCTTTTAGGAATTTTAGTAGTTCAAGGTATGCAAGAATAAAGATTTTTTTTTACATTTCAATCTTCTCTCTATCCATTTGCAAAATTTCAATCCAATCGCTAAAACTTTTTTTCTAAAAAAAATATGAAACTTTTTTGGAAATTTCATTTTTTTTTCAAAATGACATCAATACAGGTTTTGCCTCATAACTTCATTAATTTCAATCGGATCTTATAATAATTAGGCCTGCATTAAAGTTAATTGAATTCTCTACAAATCTCTAGTTAAGATTTCAAAGCAGCTTCAATAATTTCCTCAAGAAATAATAAAACGTCTTGAAAAATCAAGAAAATAGGTCCTAAAATTACAAAACAATAATTCAACAAATCATACAGTTGTGTGTTAAAAATATTAGTTTTATGTTTAAAATTTCTTAAAATATTGCTTTGACAGAAAATAAATAACTATTATACTGCTGAATAATCACATATACTCATCATGCATGAAAAGACTATCATGAAAATTGATTATCATCATGAAAACAAGGCTCATGATTAATTTTAATAATAATTATTCAATATGAAAAAAAACTGACATTGCTTTTTTTGTGTTGTTTCCTTTGAAATCCATTAGTACTAACAATGCAGTTGTAATTAGATTGCCTGATTTGAATTTTTATTTTGCCATCCCGGCTGAGAGTAATTTGGGTAGCCACAAAATTAACCACATTTTGATTGTAGATTAATTGCATCAATTTGCATGATTCGGGTTTAAAAAAAATACTCTCAACTGTTATTTTGTATTGTAAAGTGTGTAATTTTAATAACAGTTGTTTTTTTCTTTTTGTCCTTCCAGGTGGCACGATAGGTAAGTCTTTTTTTGATTGTTTTATATTAAATGGGGTGGTATTACTAAAACAAAACATTTTTTGATTGGTGGATTTATTAATTTCAAAATGACTCTCCATAGGAGAAACGTTAAGGACTGGACCTCAGCCGCAAACGCCCGCTAGCGGCCAAAGTAATAACCACCAGGGTTCGGGCTTCAAACGTCAAAACACAGTGGACAGCGCAACGATCAAAGAAAATAGCCGATTGAATTCGAGACCTGCCAGCGCTCAACCAAAGACTATTACTGAAAATAGTAAGTTGACAATCGTAATCCCTGGGAAGTTTTGACAGAGAATTTATTTCAATAATCAGGCCTATAATGTATCATTTTCTCTTATTTTAACAGCAACGTTAAGTTATCTGTCACAAAATAGAGACAGTAATAGATGGTTAAAATAACAGGACCCAGATACATCATAGGCATATATTTATGTCTCTCTCAAATTTTATTCCTTTGTTGCGTATTGTTTTGTGTCTTCTACCCATCTCATTTCCCATTTTTGTTAGTTTGTATGTAGCTCGTTTTTTTTTTTGTTTCTTGTCGTATTAGGAGTACAAGCTTCGGCTAGGGCTCGTACTGTATCTAAGAATACGACGTTATCTTTAGGAACAACGGTTGGCCGAAGATCGACGATCAGTTACGACGGCAAGTCGGATAGTACGGAAAAAACGAATTTGGTTGCTGATTTACCTAGGTGAGTCACGATTTTGAATATTGATTACTAGTGTAGTAGTAGTAGAGGGATACTGATTGATACTATTGCTATCCTCTTAATTATTATTGATTATGTCCAGTAACCGTAAATTCATTAAATTATTTGGAATTTTACTGCTAATGCAAACTAGTATAGGTAAATTACAATAGTCTTTGCATAAGCAGTATCTTTGGGTGATGACTTCTTTGTAAATATTAGCATCTTAAACTGGTATAAGAGCTAGAACATTACTAACCAACAAATTCCTGGACAAAATTAAAACCAAGATTTCTCTTTATATCAGTTGTAATTTTTCAAATACTAAAATTTGATTATTTCTACTAAGTAATGTTTTGCAACTCAAATTGGTATTAACAGAAAAGATGTGTGATGTTGATGTGTAGATCCTATCCTAATTCTGTCCAATAATAACAAAGAAACACTTGAAAAGTTGTTATAGGTTTAACTAGAACATCATTGAGACATTTAAGGCAAAGTATCATTACTCAATCACCAAAAATTAACGCAATCAATGCCTTATAGAATCATTGACAGAAGTTGCATCTCTGTCAGAGCTTGGAATAGGTATTTGGGCTTAAAACCCTCCTTCAATTCTTTCTTTTCTTCCCCAAGATTGTCTTCTTCTTTCATTCTATAGTCATCCACTCCTAGATGTAGGTTTCTTTCACTTTTACCTATAGCATTTTGGATTCAAAATTAATAGGTGGCGTCGATTGTCAATTTTCCAAACTTCTTCTCAGTTTTATTGATAAGTCTTCTTTTTTTCTCAAACCTCCATATTGTCACAGCTCTGAGGTGCGTGACAGAAATCTTGGGTTCGTTTATTCAAAAATCAAAGTCCAATTAATACAACAATAGTTTATTCCGCGTTACTATATACTCTGACAATAATTACTTCACTAATTAACTTAACAATAATCACTAATCACTATCTAAATCATATCACAGCCAATCTTCAAACTATTAACTAATACCGACCTTTATATATCTGTAATTCATTCTTTTGAAATCCGGAATAAACGCGATAATATCCTTCTCAGTCCTTCAGAGTTGTTAGTATCGTCTATCCTCGGGAGAGGGAAGCTGACCTTCTTGATGACATCATTAACCTTACGGTAGTTCACACAAAATCTAAGACTTTCATCTTTCTTTGTAACCAATACTACTTGCGCAGACCATGGACTATTTGACTCTTCAATAATTCCCTCTTGGGCTTGAATCAGATCTTATTATATTTCCACTTCTATATCATTAATTCTATCTTGTAAATCATTTTCACATTGTATTTGTATTATTTTTTGAATATTTTCATCTTCTCTTGTTTCATTCTCTACAATCATATCGGGTCTTCAAAAAAAAAACCAATCGAAGATTGCTTTGATTACGAAAACGTCCGTCGCATTACTGTTTTTTTATTCGTAAGGATTTTTGACGTGACATTTTGACATTAAATTTCATTGACAAAATTAAAGACAAATATTGCTAAGACATACATTTAAAAAACCATAGTAATCTTTGATTGTTTTTTTTTTTGAAGACCCGATATCATAGTTTGTTAATTTATCATTAAGGTTGTACCAAACGATGGTTCAGTTGAACTCTACTGGCACTTGATCAATCTCATTTTAAATTGTGATTTTAAATGCATTGCTGTCAAAAAATATGCACTTTGACAGATTTCTGACATCAATGCTGACAACCGGGCCTAAAAGTCACATCTCTTGATCAGAGTATTTTGTTTGTCTCAAAATTCTATAGTCTATCTATACTCTCCTGTATATCCCATGATACAATGTTGACCGCTTCTCTCTAATTTGCTTTTTCTTGATAATATCACCGCCCAAGCTTGACTTCCAAAAACGTTCATTTTTAACAAATCATTCGTTTATACTTAGATCACAGCATCTTATACCAAAATGTCATTGCTTATACCATCTTGTTGCTGGTGTTTCCCCATTATTTGCTTGAGTTGATGTTCTATTTAGCTCATATACTGAGCATAGCACATTGTCCGTAGCAAATTTGTTTCTGAAAATTTGGTTCTTACTTTGTCTAGTAAGGTTTTGTTCATTTTTTCTGAGATTCAATTTTCTTGTGGACTCTATTGCACTGTATACTGTAGCTCAATTCGTTTGTTCTTACAAAAATCTTTTGAAATATTAGATATAAATTCCCCACCATTATCATCTGTATCTTTTTGCGTTTTTGCATTTATAAAATCAATAATGTTTCCAGGTAATTTTACTTCTGAGAAATGTGAAAATATTTATAGTCTTCGGAAGTAGGTATGGCTATGGTACCTGCTATATCAGAGTGTATCAACTGACGAATCTTTGTACTAGGTAATTGTCTATATTTTGCACCATTTTTGCACCCATACCTATCTCACCTGTTTAAAGAGATACCCAGAAATGTCAAATATGAAAGTTGTAGGTAATATCATAGAATTTTCAATGCTGTTAGTTATAAGTTATAAGTATACTGGATGTGTTTATTCCTTATAGTCCAGGAGAATATTGGACAAAAAGAGGCGGAATAATTGCATTTTTATTGAAAAAGGTGAAGTATACAGGCCACCAGCAATATAAAGCCTTACAAATTTTTGAACTATAATGGTAACTCTAACTGATTAAATTATTTTTGAAGATAACAAAAACAAAGTCACAGTCTCATAATTTATCTAATAAGCTACACGTGTTTCGCTCAATAGAGCATCATCAGGACTTGAAATACACACCCTTAGCACACACGGCTTTTTAGTGTTTATTTTTATTTAGTGTGTGTATTTCAAGGCCTGATGATGCTCTATTGAGCGAAACACGTGTAGCTAATTAGATAAACTATGAGACTGTGACTTTGTTTTTGTTATCTTCAAAAATCTTGCCTTTGGTCTCTTGGATAAAAATGAATGATGTCTTTTTCTCTGATTAGATTATGCCTATTTACATGGTCTAACCTTCTATGTCATACATTTTCATTAAAATCCTTCTTTATTAAAGCTATCTCACGATTTTGATTTGTGTAATTACATTTTTGATCAATTTAGTGCCGGTTCCTTTGGTCTCATTTGATAGCCGTTAAAAATAATTAGGTGTTTGAATGTGCTCTAACCACATCCTACTTATAGACCTTGGCCCATGCAAAACTTTGATGACGTATCAAATTCGTTAATCGAAAGCAAAAGTATCGGCCCCTAGCCTAGTTCTAAACAACATATGTATGTATTTGTTGGAGGTGTCAGTTGCACTGCGACCAAGGTTGATCTATTGTACCCCTCCTTCTGCTGCTAAGTTCAGGTTTCCTGCTTAAAGCAGCCCCTCTAGTCCTAGGTCCTTCAGGAATTTTAGGATGTCTAGCGGTTCCAGGGCTGGAATGTCTTTCAGCTGTATAAGGGGACTTCCCAAGTTCTTCATTCTTGAGCGGCTTACGGCATCGCAGTTCAGTAGAAGATGGTGAGGTGTTTCTTCACCGTCTTCACAGAATCTGCAAGTGTTACCTTCTTCCAACCCCAGATTATGTAGGTGCTTATTCAGTCTGCAATGTCCCGAGAGAAACCCGGTTAGAGTTTTGAGACTTTTCTTGCTAAGGTTGGCCAGCAGTTCAGATCTTTTTTGGTTGTAGCTACCCAGTAGATCTTTGGCCTGTCGTAGTCCTGGTTGGTCTAGCCATTGTTTGTTCCTTAGCCGGTTCTCTTCCTTTTTGAGGATTTCTTGCAGGTGCGCATTTTTGAGGACGCAGAATGGTTCTGGCCCAGTGAAGGGAGTGGCCGCTCCCGTTTTTGCAAGTTCGTCTGCGCATTCATTGCCCTCGACTCCTATGTGTCCAGGAACCCATAGTAGGGTTACTTTGTTTTCCTTCCCCAGCTCATTGTTGACATTCCCATACTATCTTAGAATTGATTACCGGCGAGCTCAATGCTTTGATAATTGCTTGGCTGTCAGACATTATTACAATTTCTCGTTTTCGGTACCTTCTGTTCAGGTTGAACTGCACGCATTTTCTGATCACATGAAGTTCGGCTTGGAATATGCTTGGTGAATTGCCCATTGGCTCCGAGTATCTGGTTCGTGGCCCGAATACTCCGGCTCCTGTCCCCTCAGCAGTTTTGGAGCCGTCTGTGAACCATTTGATGGTGTTTGCTTTAAGGGACTGGATACATTCTATGTTCAATCTGTTCTTTGTACTTAGTTCGATGGAAAAGTTTTTCTCGAAACTGAATTTATCAACAATCGCGTCTTTTGGTAAGTCCATGAGGTGTGCACAGTTTTGGAGAGGGAAAGCTCTGCCAAAGTGCGTTTTCCCTTGTAGACTTATCTTCGCTAGTCTTAGACATGATTCACTGGCAACCCGCTTCACTATTGTGTAGAGTGGTGTTAGGTCTAGGATGACTTCCATTGCCGCGGTTGGGCATGTTCTTATTGCTCCTGTTATGCATAGACATGCGAGTCTTTGTACCTTTCCTACGGTTTTCCTAGCCGTTACTAGCTGGGTGCGGCTGTACCAGGCTACCGCTCCGTAGGTGATGATAGGTCTCACTATCATGGTATACATCCATCGTAGGATCGATGGGATACAACCCCACGTTTTGCCCGCAATGTTTTTACATACCACACGAAATTGCTTTCTTTGTTCTCTATGTGTCGATTCCAAAGGAGTTTAGAGTCTAGGGTTATTCCTAGGAATTTAACTTCTTGTTTCCAGTGAAGCCTGCTTCCATCGAGGCAAATGTTCCTCAGGTATGGGAGTTTCGTTCTTTTTGTAAATGTTACCAGTGTGGTTTTTGATGAGTGAAGATTCAGTCCCACAGTCTAACACTATTCCTTCGTGGTTCGGAGTGCTTTTTCTATAAGGTCACAGAGTATTCCTTCGTGTTTGCCTCTGGCTATGATGACAATGTCATCGGCGTAACCAAGGCAGTTGAAGCCCTGGTCTGTCAACATAAGTTATTAAACGTTTTACAATGAAATTTACATCCATTC